CATGCTGGCTGGGGAATTCTGGGAGTTGCAGTCCACACACCTTAAAGTTACCAATTTTGAAAAATGCTGTTATACGCAATTCTCCCCTTCCCCCTTCCAGAATACATATTACCTAGCAAGTCTTACCAATTAAAAAAAATTAAGCACACACAGAGATTACTGCAAACTTCAAAGCAGTGGTTTATCCAGTTAAAAAGGAAAACCAAATATATAAGTTGTACCTAATGGAACTTCATGTTTCGAGATGTCATGAATAAATGGTGTTTCCTTTTTAAAAGCATTTGCTAAAGCATCTAAACATTAAAAGAAAAATCTCTAGTAAGTCTGCAGAAATAGTCCAATAAAACAGCTTTACCATCATGTCTGAAAGAACTAGTGTGGCAATGCGTCAAAATCACTAAGAGATTCAGCACTACAGAAGGTTTTAGAAAATGGATCTGCTGCCCTCTTTATGAACATATATTTTCTATAAACACATTCAGTACTAGTTTTTGTACTTTTACTCATTTGCTCCTGTTTATAGCCAAACAAAAGTTCTTGATACAAATGGGGACAGGGAAATATCTGCGCTACATATTTTCCAAATAAACAGCTTATTTTTATAGGACAGGACCGATCTGGGCTAAATTCCATTTATAGCAGCTCACTAACACTGCGCTATAGTTCCATTAGTAGTAGCCATTTTGAGATGCATAATTTATCTAGCAGTGCACTTTAGGGTATAAAGTCTGTATGCAGAACTATGAATTTGAACTGTCTGAAGCCAGCTAGAAACATTTCCTTCTCTCCATGATTACCCAAAGGAACTCTTTTTTTTCCTCTTTCTAAGTGACTTTTAAAGTAGATAATCTGCCGTATCTTGAAAAAGACAGAGGCTTGTGGCACTAATGCAAAACCAGTCACCAGGTCCTATAATTTCCTCTGATGATGTGGATGGAAGTAGAATTCTCCCTCAACCACAACTTTGCTTTGACCTATGCTCTGCTACTCTCCAGACAATTGCATTTTGTCCTTTCCTGACTTATGATGTCCCATCTGAATCCATATTGAAAACATACACTTTCTTTGTAGGTACAAAAGGAGAAGCTCCGGAGCAGCAACACATGACTTTGGAGAAGAGAGCATAATCTAACTTGCATGACTCACAGTAGTTTCTGAGTCTGAGGTAGCTTCTCCACTCACTTCCTGCTTCCCTCCCATGTATACTCGTTGGCTCTCTTTTGCAGGAAGATGAAAGTGGGTGTCCTGTTTTTTTACCCTGGCCCTGTCTGGTTTTCTCGTGTAAGAGAACCAAATACTGTCAATACCCTTTCCGTCTTGTAACTGTGTGAACACTCAGATGATAAGCAAACATTAAACAGAATGCACGGACTGTCCCATTGAGAGCAGGAAAATAAAGAGAAAGGGACCTATGTGAATTTTTGATTTGATAGAATCTCTTGTTTGCCACTTTTCCTGTAGGGTTTCAAACCCTCTTGGGTTTGAAGAACCTTTCTGAAGTTCTTCAAAACTTCAAGTGTAAGAGCAATTTGCAGAAACACTTGAGATGAGCCAGTATAACCTAGCGAGGTTGTTCAGTGCTTGCTGTGCTCTGGCAGTGAAAAGAATACATGGATGGCATAGCGGGCTGAAAGCAAAGTCACGTTCTTATAGTCATACGTATATATGACACTGGCTCAGTCTCTGCAGGTTATGTACAGGTGCATGTTCTCTCCCTCCTCCAGACACTCATGCTCAGAATTTCTGCATTCCTTAGCCTCAACTCCTTCTTTATCACATTGCCAACAAGAGTACTCACACAAGCTACAGCTAAAAGAGGGAAGTGAATATTGCATAAGCTCTGATCAGAGGACAGTGTCACTAATGGCATGTTTAGGACAGTTGTACCATCCTACGTTTCAGATAACTGATGCAACAGAGAGGCAGAGAGGAGAAACTGTTTAAAGAAGGAATCTTTAATAACTCACCTTATTAAATTACAAGGAATAGGATTGCCTTTGGCATTGTAGAATTAGAAGGCATTTGTATTAAAATGCTGAAACTCTAGCTTGGCAACTACAATTTTATTTTTCCCACAGCACTGTCCCAAAGTCATCCAGTGAACTTATGAGGATGGATTTGAACATGGGTCTCCTCAGTGCCAGTCCAAAACTACACTGTCTCTCAATTTACTAGAGAATAGCCCTCAGTGAACTTAAACAGATTTAGTCCCAAACAGAAATGTACAGGATTGTATTCCAAAACCTGATCAGTATCAATACTGCAGATGCTTTGATACTTTGAGTGTTCTTACAATGTTTGGGGGAGGGTGTTCCAAATGGTATGACATATATTCTGCACATTACACTCTTGGCAAAAATCCCAAATCTTCCCATGGGCCCCAAAACTTTGCAGATTATTGAACACTATGATGTTAGAAGGCTAGTCAAGGATCTAAATGATAATATAAAGTCTTCTGCCCAGCAGTCAAAAGACCATCTTCCACATCAATTCAGTGCAGAGAACATGAATCATAGAGAAAATGAGGATGGGAAGAACGGATTGCTATAGATATTTTTTATATATAAAACATATGCTAAGGATTAAAAATAAGTTAATTAGAACAGTTATTGATTTCTCTGTTGTTTCTTTCCAATGCTATAAAAAGATCAGTGCAGGTATATCCAGGTATATATTTAGAAATGCAATCCAGTAGTCTTGGATCTAATATTTATTCTGGATTTTCAAACAGCAGCCTATAGCAAAGGGCTTTATATCAGTTATGGGTGATACACCAATATGTTCTCTTCCTAAGATTTCACCCCTTATTGTCTGCCCTGATCAACGTATTACATAGGACTGGTCTTCAAAACAGCTGGAAAACCTCAGCCCTCTAGAAGGCATGACTAATAGTGACATGACTATTGTCTGTAGCTCCTGCATCAAGTGTATTACAACAAGACTGTAATTGTTCCTAAGATAATCCAGACAGTTTCCTATCAGAAAGCCATCTTTCAAATTAATTCATATCATTATAATCATTAACTCAAGTAAATGCATGATTCAAGAAGTATGTCTTCGTGTCCAACTTTCAGGATAACAATTATCTACTGTTACCTTTTCAGAAGATGCTGATGGTTCCACTAAGAGGGGTCCCTGCTCATTGGACTGGTCACTATGATCATATTCTTGCACAGCAGAATTGCGCATGCGTCCTTTCCTGAGCCGTATAACTGGCTCCAGAGTGCTTGCATTCCCAATATCTGTTGATTCGTTCATTAGATCAAGGGTCTTCCTGAAAAGAAGTTCTTATTTTCTCCAGCAAGAAGCAATGACCAATTGGCTAATTCTGAAAAAAACAAACAAAGTTGACACTGATAAACATGCCACCCAAAAGATAGGTAAACGTTATCTAGTATCTTTTCTTTTTACAGGTACCAAAAGCCATAGCCATCAAGAATATACATCTGGGTGGAAATAAATATCTTTCCTGGAATGTTTATAGCATTAACAATCCATCAACAAACATCCAGCTGACTACTAAACAGGAAAATTTGAGTCTGCTGTCCTTCTTTGCTGCCCTGTATCCTGAGTGGGTCAGTTCACTCCATGTACCTCCTAGTTGTCGGAATACAGACAACTGGATTAGGATTAGAAATTGACACTACAAAAACACTGTCCCACGAATTACAAATTAGATATCCTAACTTGTATAGAATAGTATGAACATACTTTGGATAAATGTGCGCCGATTGTTCTTATGACATACTGGTCCAATTATATCAAAACTGACTAGTACTGTTCTTACTGTTAACTAAGACTGGTAACAAAGTTGACAGCTTCTCCATCTAACATAAAAGCATTATTTGAAAACTTTGATCAACTAAAGTAATGATGAGCAGTGAATGTCATTATCCACTGGACCACCTGGTGGTGATCATGGCACATGGAGGTTTGTGACATGGAATTTAAGAAGAGTAAATGAATTTGATGATGAACATTAATTAATGAATGAAGAGAAAGACAAATAAATGTGTGCGATGTCTGTAAAACTAAGAGAAAGGGGAAGGATATAGTAGATCTAAACAAAGGTGGGTTGATCTTTTGGAGTGGAAGTGATCAATACATATAGGGAAGTGATCACAGATCCTACAGATTTAATTATGAACAAAAAGTTTGTCAGAAAGTAGGAACTGCTGTCATCTAGGTTATTATGGGTACCTATGAAAGCAGGAATCCATTGAAACAAATAAAACAAGGAGCCTCCAGAAAAGGGAATGGAATTAAAAATAAAACTGATGAAGTGATTGGGGATGAAATTGAAGTGAGAGAATGGTAAAAGTAATATTTTAGAGACCTGTGTGGGAATGACTGTGATATGCTGGAGAGTGGAACTGAAATGAATGCCTATGTTATTGTTCAAGAAAAGGAAGTAATAAAATGCTATAAGCAAGTTGAAAGATGGTAAGGCTGCAGATAGAATCAGTGTAACTAAAGAAATGTTAAAATAGGAATATGCTTTCCTTATGGAGTATCTGTGCAACTTGTGCAACATGTATGTGAAGAGAGTATCTGTCCCAGATTATTGGAACAGTATGGTTATTGTATTCTTTCCCTATACAAAGGAAAATGTAGCACAAATGAATGGGGAAAAAACCATAGGAGGGTTAATTTGTTAACTATATCTCTAAAAGTACTTGGCAGATTTTTTTTTAATTTAAGCTTTTCACAGGTTTTTATAAAGATATAAACCACAGTATAAGAAAAAAACAACTACCGATAAAGCATGAGCCAGGTATATTTTAGAAAGGCTTTTCAGTGATGCTTTCTCTCCTTTCCTTCTATTTGTTTTCCTGACTGCTAACCTAAATATTTGTACTTTACATTGAAGGTTAAACATTGAAGGTTATTGCTAGTACCTATTTAAGTCATTTCATCTGGTATTTTTGACTGGCCTTGTACCTCTTTTCCTAGAAACCACATTCCAAATGTCCACATTAGCCTTGCTGTGTGATGTGGAGTATATAAGGGAGTCCTTCCTGCTTAAAGGTACTTGGCAGAATTTTGATTGAACAGGTAGAGGAACTGACAGTGAGCAGAATTTGGGAAATGCAACATAGCAGGAGTAAACAGCTTTTTACTCTTCAGCAGGTCAATGACCAATGTGAGAAAGTTTCTTGCACATTTGTGATTTAGAGAAAGTCTTTGATAAAGTGAATAGGTTTGAATTAGGAAGGGTTTTGTGAGAATGTGGAGTTGAAGTTTTATTGCTGAATAAGGTAAGTATGTTGGAAGTAAAGCACATGTGAGAAGAAATGCTGAATGCTCAACAGGGGTAAAACAAGGATGTGTGATGGTCCCTTGGTTGTTTAACATATCTATGGATAAACATATAAGGAATATTTGTGGTGATGTTACAGGTATGCTGTTTGGGGATGCCAATATATATGTACTTCATTTTATGTACTGGTGATGGTTGTTGGCTGAGAATTCAAATTATTCACACCAAATGTTAGATCTACTATATGATGAATTGAGGGGTATGGATCTGAAATTAATGTATCAAAAACCAAAATAACTATTTTGACAGGGAAAATATAATGAACAATTCTGTTAAACAGTAATAGAAAAAGCTAGAGCCTACAGATGAACTGCGGAGTCTTGGTAGAATGTTAATTAGAAATGAATAAATAGATGGAGAAATGTTAAGATGTACAAGTGAGAGTAAAAAGGTAGAGTGTAGTATGTAGGCTACTTTGAGGAATATTTGTTAAAAGAAGTGAAAATAGTTTTGTATATGAGGATATTGCAGAAGATCAGAGATCAGAGGATCACGGTAGTCCTTTAGGTGAACAGTCTTAAACATTATCCTGAATGCCCTTCACTCCTGCATTATATATTATGTGACAAACTTACTATCTGAAGACAAATGTTCTGCAGAAAGTGAACATTTTTTCAACTAATCTGCAAGGATGTATTATTGAAAAATTAGCTCTTGCAATGATAAGCATTTTTGTAAGTTCACATTTCCTCTATTATCATAAAAAGGCACCTATGAGGTTTTGTTAATTTTTTTAATCAAATGCTTAAAAGATGAACTAAATGGCTAACCCAATCATTTATAACAATATCTTCAACCTTTAAATCTACTTTGAGCCCTATGACTTACTAAGAGATTTGGGACAGAGCCCTATGCAAGCTTTTTGGTGGGGTATAAAGCACTTTCTCTAAACATCACTTAAAATTGACCTATTATTCAAAAACACTGTAGATTTGCATATGATACAGACAGGGTCAGTTAAGTTGCAGCACTGATTTTATCACAGAATTGCAAAAAAACAAGAATTTTACTTGGCCGACTGCATTCCAGACAATTCCCACAAGGCCCAGCCACTTTTGTAAGAATTGTTAGAGGACTGTTTCAGCATCAGCCCTGCTGCACAGACCTAGAATATTTTCACTTAGACTGTCTGCAATAAAATAAATGCTGTACAGAGCAAGACAAGAGAGAATGAGTTTATGAATAGTTTCTATAGAAAAAACATTTTATCCTTAAAAAAAAAATCAATAACAGGAGGAACCGCAGCCAGTTCTAAGAGCAGCTGACAATTTTTGTGGGCTGTAACTACTTTGCCTTAACTTTCTTTCAATGACTTCAGGAGTATGGAATAAAAATTTTGCAACAACTGATTAGACATATGTCTCCGCAGTTCAATGAAAGTAGCAACTATTAAATATTTCTATTTTTATAACTGTCTTAACTAGATGACCATATTTGACCTCTTCTCTAAACAGCAGACAATAAGAAACTGGATTGAGGATATTCATATATCCTTAAAGCTAAAATCCAATTATGTCCGAATACCTCAATAATAGTATTTACTACAAATGCTGAATCTTCTTACGAAAGGTAACCAGAAGGAACAATAACTCTATACTTCAGATTTCTGTAACGTAATTAAACACAAATTTCCAAATATGCTCAGCTGGAGTGCTATTCATTGACTAATCAAATGAACCGTAAAGTAAGAATGCTGTAGGTAGACACATAATAAAAATTAAATCTGAGAATAAAAACTTCCAAAGTGTTTTTGCTTTCACCTTACATCAGATATTTATTTAATTCAATTTAGGTACCACCTAATTTCAATTGGCTAAGGGTAACTCACAATATAGTTCACCATAGAAAACCCAATACAAAACAGAACAAGATGGATTTGGATTATTCTATTCAACCATGAACAAAGATCAAAAGAAAGACCCATCCAACAAGGAGCCCCGTCCATCTCACCTCAAGGCCTGGGAGAACAATCAGGTCTTCAAGGCTTTATGGAACACCATCAGGTTGGGGACCACATAGATTTCAGGGGGGATCTCATTCCGGAGGGCAGGTGCTGTGACAGAGAAGGCATGCTTCTTGGGTCCCAATAGATGGCATTGTTTAATTGAAGGGACCCAGAATGCACTGACTCTATCAGCCCATACAGGCCAAGCAGAAACCATGGGTCTTATCCCGCAAATAACCTGGCCCTGTGTCATGTAGGGCTTTATAGGTAGTAACCAGCACCTTGAACCAGCACATCCAGAAGCATACTGGCAACTAGTGCAGCTCAAAGAACAGAGATGTCACATAGGCATACCAAGGGATGGCCATGCTGTTACATTCCAGGCCAGCTGAAGCTTCTGAGTGGTTTTCAGAGGCAAGCTCACATAAAGCGCACTGCAGTGTAAGTAGTCCCAGGGTTAAGAATGCCCGGTTTAAGGACTACCCATAGTTAAGAACTGAGCCTACTGTAGCAAACTTTGAGTTAAATACACAATGATTTGAGCTAAATATACAATGGTTTGAGTTAATTACACAATACTACTTATACAGTATTATACAATAATACTGCTTTAGCTTACATACAAATTCAATTTAAGGACAGACCTTGGGAACAGAACTCGTTCTTAAACTGGGGACTACCTGTAGTCAAGCCTTGAGGTGACTAAAGCATGTGTGACTGTCTGAAGGGCCTCCTAACCCAGGAG